GATAAATAAACTAGCAAAAACTTCCCCTATAAAATTATTTAAATAGCACACTCGGCCCATTACTCATTTGAGGGTTGACTTCATATAAAAAGACTCAAATACCCCCGGGATTTTGCAATTAATAAATTCTTATATTTTTTAAATATTTTAATTATTTTATTTTTGTTATATCTTAATTATAAAGCTACAATGGGGTCTTTAGTTTATTTCTATTTTTATTATCACATAATTTTGGTATATATTTTATATTATCCCTACATCAAAAGAAAACTTAAATTTCATTATTATGTATTTAAAAAATATATATACTTAATTTGGTTAACAAATTTTTAATAAATTTTCAATTTAATTATTTAATATTTTTTAACAATATTTTAATTTTTAAACAACCAAATTAAAAAGAAAATATATATACATATAATATATATACATATAAATACATTTTAAGGGTCAATTTCGTCATTTCATGTCCAAAAACCAACTCCCAGTCGTGCAACCCGCGAGTGAGCCACACACAAGTCAACTAGGGGGTTTTTGCCTTTGACTAAATTTCACAGGGGTGTTTTTGCTAGTTTATTTATCACAGGGGGGTTTTGCAATTTAGAGATTACACAGGGGTATATTTTGCAGTTTACTCCCCTTTCTTATATTCACTTAATCCTCATGTGTTCTAAGTTGCTTCTATTTTTTTTAATTTTTATATTTTTTTATATTTTTTTAATTTCTTTGCTTTTTTTTTTTTTTTTTGCAATGAAATATTTATTACAAGATATTAAAACTTCCATATCAGATGACCTACGGTTTATGTATTCTTTGTTTTTAGAAAAAAAAAATTATATTTAGTCAAATTGGCCAATTTTGGAGTAAGTTTAGGACGACCTTCCATACAATTCCATACAAGTACTCTTAATTTATTTGTCAAAAAACGTGAATTGTTGCTCCTTTTGACATTTAGAAATATTTTTCTCTGACGGAAGTATTATTCACTTAAGGTGGTGAGGGTGAGATTTCCAATGAAAACGAGGTGGAGTTCATTTTTGATAAATATTTCAATTAGTTTAGTAGTAGACGCTTTATAAATTTGTAAAAAATAAGCAATGGGAAAAATGAAAAATATATTTAATTTGGTGGTGAAATGATATTTGAGGGTGGAAATAGCACGTCTCTATTTTTATGATCTACCTTCAATAGTAAAATATATGTGTTTTTAGTATTTTAATTATTTTGATCATAACTTTTGCATACAAAATTCAATTGCACTCCTTATAAGGGTGGAAATTGGACAAATTGGATCGAAATAAACACTTTTGGAAAAAAATTGATTTTTTTTATAGTGAAAATCTATTTCAAATTTTGTTCCAAAAAAAAAAATTAGAAATTTTCGGACCGATATTGCGGAATTTGGAGAATAAGTGTTTAGTCTCCAGAAATATAAAATGCATAATAAATTGATGTTATAAGTATAATTTCCGTGAAATGATTGAATTTTGAAATTACTTTTGGAAATTAAAATACGATCGAAAATCGGAATCTCGTTTATATTCCAATTCCAATGAAATAAAAAATGGGAAAAAAATTGGAATTGGATTTTCAAAATCCGAAATGAAAAATATTGTTCTAAAATCGAAAATATCCGGTTCGGAACTGGGAAAATAGAAACTTTGTTCCAATTTTCCACTCCTAACTAATTATATTCAAGTTGCACTAGAAAGATGATAAGAAGTTCTACAACATTCATATTTTAATAACTTGTAAGATTTTATTTTCATCATAGTAGAAAACTGCATTGAATCTTTCAAGACAATTCGTAATCTTAAAATCTGAATTCTTTTGATCACAACATTATATCATACGAAATTCGATTGTACGTATTCAAATTGTATTCAAAACCCCCTCGAAAACGTTCATAATTTATATTTTTTTTAGATTTGGTTTTACTCAATGTCAAAACTTGCATTAAATCGTATTGTCTTAATTAAGCTTTTTTGTCTTATCTTGTTGTCTAAGATAGTAAGCTATCTAAAATAAGGTAACAAAAAATAATTCTAGAAGGAGATTGCAAATGCGTTATCGATGCTCTTAATACTGGTGGATCTCCATCTTCATCTTTCGGAGCTTTTGTAGGGAAATGTTCAATTATTTCTCGTTAATTCCTTTACTTCGTGTAATTTTGCCTTTGTTAAACGGACTGGGAATCACTTGGCTCATGTCCTTGCTTCTATGGAAGGATCGTCATTTAATGAAGGATCTAACTTTCCCGAATCTTTGGCTATTATGTAACTTAGGGGTGAGCAAGTCGGACCCATCAACCCGTTGAACCTGTCAAACCCGGTAAAAACCACCTCACTAGGACCGGACGGATAGATCCATCTATAGGATTGGGTCCTGAAATGGACAAGATCCGTGGGTTTGAGTCGAAGACGGGTTCAAAAAATTTAATACCCGTGAAACCCGTCCCGCCCCGCTATACAAAAACGACATCGTTTTGTTTATATTATGTAGTATAATAAATTAATAATGTATAATACATGAATAAAGTATGTCTTACATGTCAAAACGTATATCTATAACCACGACATCGTCTCGTTTTGTCTATGGTTATCTATTTTATTTTAAATCTTGTCTAATAAAGGTTTGAATTTAGTTACTCTTTTTTGACACGTGACATTTATCATTGATGTTATTCACATTTGTTTCGATTTAAGATTTTACGCTTGGTCATTCATTTTGATTTCTAAATAATTTCGCTTAAAACTTATAAATTATTTAAGAAAATAACTTTTTTAAATTACGACGGGTTTCGACCCGTGAAGGTTGAGTTCTACTTTAAACCTGCAATAAACCCGTCGAAAATCTACAAGTTTGATTCCTTAAAATCAAGAACCGTTAATTGACAGGACAAGGGCAAGTTTTACTAGAACCCACATGTTTACTATGCCTAATGAAATCCATCTCATTCCCCCAAAAGAATTTTTTTTACACTTTCTCATTTTAACTTTAGTTGGTTACAAATAGAGCTACAACATTCAAGATTTGCAATTAGTGAGATTCAAATTAAATCATTATTAAAAAAGTCAATATAAAACAAAAATTAAACATAAAATTATTCAAAATAGATGTATGCATGATCATAGTCAAGTACATCTTTGGCACAAACTTGTGCCCTTTTACTTGGACATTCGTCATTAAGAAACAATCCAACAATTAAATTAAATAATGCAATTCAAAGTTTCAAAGAGTTTCAAGTTTTAATCAACAATTGTTGAATCCCTTTGTGTGAATTTATGCAAAGTTATTACAACTTATTTTTTTTATATACAAGTACATGTAACTTGGAAAAAATAATATCCGAGTTTACCGGAAAGACGAGCCAATCAGAAGATCGTTTGCTTCCAGAATCAATCAAACGAAGTCCTAATATATCTCTCAATGTAAATTAGGTCTTAAGTAAAACTAAATAACTTACAGAATCTTGGAAATTCCATGGAATATTTGTTCTGTTCTGAATTTCCAAATCTACCCACATGGGGTAAATGTAACATACTCACAGTCACAGAGAATAACTGTAATATTTTGTCTTACCTTAAGATGTTACGTCTAATTTATCCATAGCTTGTTTGTTTAATTAATAAAATGGTAGTTTAGACAATACATTCATTATGTAATACTTTATAACGCAACGCGCTGTCAGTTTCAAGGAATAATTACTAATACCATATAAATTTATAAGTTATTTAGTCTTACCTCAAGGGTATTCCTAGTTTGCCCTATATCTTAATTAACAAAATAAAACAAAATTAGGATACAAATATTGTTTGATTTAAACATGTCAAAAATAAAATGGGATAGCTCTGCACACAGTACGTAGTGGTGTGATGCTTTTAGCATCAAGACTCATCTTATCCCATAAAGATGATGTTTCTTTTCTTTTCTTTAGTGTTGGATCCCAGACATCCCTAGTGGGTGTTTTTTTTTTTTTTTTTTGGGTGAAATATTTTTATTATTATTTTTTTCTTTTTTCTTAAAGAAAAAAAAAAAAATCTGTATATATATATATATATATATATATATATATATATATATATATAGATACAATATTTTGTGTACAGACAGCTATGGTGTCTTGTTGTTGATTGAAATTTGGGGTTTACTTTTTGTTCTGTTTCATTTGCCTTTTACAAAGCTCTGAAAAAATTGACTAAGATCCATGTGAAAAGATTGGCTCTGTAGTTATCACCCCCACCCCCCATATTTTCATATTTCATCACTTCACTTTCATTCATATTTTTCACTGTTCATCATCAACAACTATTCCCTTTTGCCCTACCAAACTATACACAAATTAAAATTATATATTATTTATTGCTAACTCCTTTTTTTTTCTTGAATTTAATGCATTTATTTATTTACGTGTAGCATAAATTTAACCGTTAAACTCAATTAATTAATCAATATATATATATGTCTTATTACAAGAGAAAATTAGACAGTTAGTTTATTACTTGACGTATAATACTCAAACTGAATATGACTAATACTAAAATGCAGACAGAAATAAACTCATTGGTTCAAGAAACCTATGTTCTAGTACTACACATATATATATATGTTCAAGAAACACATTGATTCTTATTTGTACGTATAGTTGTACAAAAAGTTCAAAGTTCAGAAGTACTGTACATGATCAAAATATACAAAAACCCCTTTTCAAGATCTTCATATACGGTACCGATCTCGAAATCGCGAAGAAAAAAAAATAGTACACGCGTGAAAAACCCTGAGATCATATATAATAATTCATGTTTTATATATAAGCCCATAGAAACAAACGGATTTAATAATTATGATGTCAACAAATTACTAATTGAAAACAAGCTAAGGCTTATATATATATAGAGGGAGGGGGAGAGAGAGAGAGAGAGAGAGAGAGAGAGAGAGAGAGAGAGAGAGAGAGAGAGAGAGAGAGAGAGAGAGAGAGAGAGAGAGAGAGAGAGAGAGAGAGAGAGAGAGAGAGAGAGAGAGAGAGAGAGAGAGAGAGAGAGAGAGAGAGTGAAAAAAGAATTTGACATTGAATTAATTAGGTCTAAACTTCTGGCTGCAGGAGAGACAAGTGATCTCCATGCACGTACTTGAATTAGCTGATCTTTGTCGTTTCATATTCTCGGCCCTCTCCACCTCCTCTCTAGCCCTCTCCCACAAACTCCGGGCCCGCATAAACTCCGACTGAGCTAGCTCCATCTCCCTCCTAGTCAGCTCCATCACTCTCTCCGCGTAGGCCCTCTCCATTGCCGCCAGCCGAATTTGCTCCGCCGCCTGCCATTTTAGGGCATCGGTGCAGCTAGAATCCATCTTCTTCATCACATGATGATCAACAAAGTTGTTGTTGTTGTTGTTGTTGTAGCTTCTTAAAACTTGTCTTAGCTTGAGTGGCTTTTTGACACTTATGGATAGTTGGAGGTCTAGAGACGGGCCCTCGGAATTGTGATCAGTTGTGTACGGGCCGAATCGGGCCGGCGTACTCGGCGGCCAAGGTGGAGGATATTGTGAAGCAGGTGTTGGTGGTGGTGGAGTAGGGAAAGAAAGTAGCTGCATTTCTTGAGGATCTTCTTCCATTGAAGAGTAGTGTGACATGGCACAAAAGACAAGAGGGAGTAGTGTTATATTGGGTGTGGCTAATTTATGTTTTTAGGGTTTCTATGGAACAAAATGAAGGCCCATATATAAGCATTTCCCTAGAAAATTGGATTTTATTTCTAACTTTTTATACTATACATGTATATAATAAAAATTCAGATCATGTTACATATATAGAAGGATGTAGGAAATTCGCATGTCTCCAACCCTAAATCTTTACCCTAGTAATGAAGATTAAGTAATTTTTTATTATTTTCAATTATAATAAAATGTACAATTTTATTATTATTTCCCCATGCAAAAGGAGAGGGGACCAAGAATATGTGTGTTAGCATCATCATGAGTAGCATGATTTATTGGACATCGCTTGCATGATCCCATGAATATGGATCTTTAATTTGGAATTAGATATTTGAATTTGATTGTACTTTGTTGTTAACCCTCTTTAGGACTCATCATATACATATATATAAAAGAAAGTGGTGATCTTATTATCCCACAATTAACTCTTTGTAAATAACACATATTCAAAGTTTCAGGATTATTTTTATGCTATATCCGGTGAAAACTATATTGGGTGAATTTTTACTGTTGGTCTACATATATTAATATGAGTGTATGTGTATATGAATGGTAAAGATCTACTCAGTGTATTTCACCTGTTGTAGCATAAAATAGACTAAGTTTAGAAGTAGCTCGAGGATTCTACCATCGCAACTAGAAGTGTAATGTACATCAAAATAATTAGAACAATGAAATATTCATACTTGAGAAATTATAAAATCATAACATGTGTAGTATTTTTCTATTCATTGTAGAGCAACTCAGAAAGGAGATTGTATGACCACTTTGTTTAATTTTGGCGATAATATTTGCGACTGCTTGATATTCAGCCTTCGTGGTGATCTGCCGTTTGGAAGACCAAGAGGTGAGGATGATAACTCAATAGTCCCATGTCGATTGTGAGATGTCAGGGCATCCACCCCAATCGGCGTCGGGGTACGCGACGAGGGATAAGTTCGAATTTGGAGAAAGGAGAAGGTCGTGGTCGAGAGTACCACGAATGTAGCGCATGATATGCTTGATAGCAAAAATGTGTGCGGTTCCGTATTATCATGCATAAATAAAACATACTTGTTGCACATCATAGCAGATGCACGAGCCAAAGTGAGATATTTCAGCGCACCGACATAACTGCGATAGAGAGTAGGGTCAGCAACAGGATGTCCCGTGGTTGAAGATAACTTGCTCTTGGTATTGGTTTGAGGCAATGGTTGCAATAAGTCATGTGGGCCCGTTGAAGTATCTCGTCGGTGTACCAACGTTGAAAAAAAAAAGTTGCATATTTAGAAAACGAGTGACAATTCCGATCATAGTTGTATTTGGCTTCCTTCATTAAAAAAAAAAAAAAAAACTTATTATTTAATCAATAGAAGTTAGTAATAATAATCTACCGACGGCATAATATATCTGAGTAGAGTACTCAATTTAAAAATTTAGTCAACACCTCTTTGTAGTAATCCAAACCTAACTTCCTAAAAGACAACTTCTTTTCAATGCACATGCTCTTTAAGAATTTCGAATATAATTATATATTATAAAATGATATTCATCACATATTTAAATTTTATTAATACATGATAACACTATAAAATAGGCATATATATACATTTGTACATGCATTAAAAAATAAATTAATAAGTACAGTCATACTTTATTGTAGATCTAATATTTCAATTACTTCTTAAAATTAATAATTGTCTTGTAGGTTTTTGTCTTAGAGTACATTCGGATCGAATGATCGAGATGAAGTCAGGGATTCGAAATGAGCTAAATCAAAAGAATTTAAATTAATTCTAATAAGAAAAGCGAAGATTTAAATTTATAATTGCATGAATCAGTTACATTTTGAATTTTATAAAATTCAAATATCGAAAAGTTGCATGTATCGTTCATTCATTCATTAGAAAAGTTAACTGAAAGGACCACAAAACTTATGTTTTAGGTTTAGCCACATTCAGATTAAAAAATGATCGAAATCACGTTTGAAGTCAAAACAATAAACATAAATTTGTAGTTTGTTATATACCGCTTGCTATATTACTCCATCAACTAGATTATTATTTTTTTCGGGCTAATAAATAGGCAAAATAAGTTTTTTAGTCCTGTAAATTTATTAGATAGAAAATTTAGTCCGTCGCGTTTTAAGATTATAAATTTATTTTTATATAGTAAATTCCAACTCGTTCAACCAACCACTGAATTACAGGACAGAGAATCAAAAATCTCAAATTTCATAATTTACAGGACTAAAATTCTGATTCAAAAATGCCTAGTAAACTCACGGGACTAAAAATAATCATTTTTAGCCCAATAAATATTGAGGAATAATAGAGGAGATACTTAGCTTAAGCAGCAATAATTACAATAGCACGTGCAGTATGTGTGCTTTGGTTTAATCTTTCTTTAGCTTTTAATGGATGGTGGGCCTAGCCCTGTCGGCCCACTTGCCTATAATGTTAAAAAAGTTATCAACTTTTTTCAGCACATAAAGCCCAGATTGGCACGTGGGAGCCCTTTCGAATCCCATCATTGCACATATTTCTTCAAATGTTTTTTCTCTTTCTTTTATCATCATATCATATGGAGTGCCAGATTTCTTTTTTTGTGCAGGAAATCTTGTTGGCACGTGCCAGCCAGTTAGGTTTCCACTTCTCGTAGCGAAGCAAGGAACTACGAACAAAAAGTGTTTATGCAACATACATAGGAGTGGAAATCGCCAATCGGGACTGAATATTTGAAATCCGTCGACTTCGATCACCAGAAAATTAATTATGAAACCATTATATTTCATTCTGATTTCTGAATTTTCGGTTTATAACTTTTTCGATTTTTTTTATTATCAAAATCGAAATTATACATTTTTTTGAAAATTTTGATTTTCAGTGCGGTTTTAATTTTTGAAATAATTCTGAATATCTATTTTTTTTCAAATATTATTATAATTTCAAAGTCTCCACACACCCATCTTCGATTGAGTTGGATGTTGTTATGTTTTAATGTTATATTCGTAGATACATGTTATGAACAATTATTAAGTAAAAAATCTATTTTAAATTTAGAACCAATTTTAAGATTCTCATTTTTTTGGAATTGGAATAGCTAATATTCCGTCCCTCGGCATACCACAACAATTCTCAAATGATATTTAAAAAGTACATGTTATATAAAGTGGTAATTTTAGTATTTTGCTAAATATTTCTGGACACTTATTTAGTGCTCTTTCAAATTAAGATACTGAAATTTTAGTATTTTGCTAAAAAAAATCTTATCCGTACCTTGTTTTCAATCACCACATCCGTATTTGCCACTGGCGGTACTTACAAGGGGTAGGGGGAACTGTTGACCACCGAGATTAAAAAATATTGGCATTGTGTTTTTTAAATATTACATTTGGCCCCCTTATATGTGTCTTAATCTTTTATCTTTTTGTTTCTTCTCCATATATATATATATATATATATATACATCATATTTAATATAAAAATATAAAATGAAATGGTTAAAAATTTTATTATTTTAAATAAAATTTATGAATATTACTTATTTTTGAATTTCTTTTATCAATGCCTTTAAAAAATAAATACAATCGGGCCATGAATCCCCAAAATATTAAGTGCAATACATTATTAGATAATTTGGATTAATTTAGAATTTTTTGTGATGATTAAAATATGATATAATTATAATATATACGATATTTTAATTAAAAATTAGTAATATAAACTTATTTTTTTGCAATGTTTTGTGAACTTAGCTAAATTTTTTTCGAGGCTCTGCCCCGAACCCTGAAATTTTAGTTGGCCTCTCCTATATTTTGATCCTGGTTCCGTCACTCATCTTTGCTGCAACTCTTTAGATATGCCTCACTCCCGCTCACATCAATTGCCATCGTCAAAACTCTTCCATACATTGTCATACTTGCGTACGTGCACACACGCACACTCACATATGCACACATAATTAATCATATTCATTCACGCATAATAGTCGTTTGGAAAATCAAATCTACGTATTTTGTAAATGCACATTTCGGCGAATACGAACAGTAGTTTTTGGTTCACTTTGTTTAGCTACAGGATTTGTAACAAAGATAATTGTAAATATGTAAGTATTCCATGGTAGAGGACGACCATTGAACATAACTAAGTTTTCTAACGAAGCTTTGCTTGTACTCTCCACTATATATTTTTCATGTGTGTATATTTAAGCTTCGTAACTAAGCTCTCTGTGTACTCTCAACCGTATATACTTCTCTGTCTAAACTCTGTCAATAAGCTCTCATTGTGCATATGTTAATAGTGTGTCATGTGACGGGTATTTATTCATATACGGGTAATACTCAGTCTAAGCTCTTAACTTACTTGAGTGTCTCAAGTAAGTTCTCTGGTGTCATCCGTCTAAACTTTCTGTTTTAGTCCGTTTAAACTTTATATACTATTGTGTGCTTATATTCATGTGTTGTTAAATTCTAGACTCATATAACCCAATTAGAGTGAGTAACTTAAAATGGTACAAAACCCATTTAAAGATTTTTTAGCAGATAGCAAAAAATCACGTGTTCTGAGAGACAACTAGTTTTTCCTACATTAATGAAAAGAGATGTTTGAAAAGTGATAGGTAAAATAAACTTTTTTCAATATCTTATAATTACTAGCGAACGTGAAATAATCACTAGTAGTGACATCTCCAAATTACTGTTATTTAATTTGTTTTTATAAATAATACTAACTGAAGTTTGTATTTATTAAATAAAAGTGCAAATTTGAAACTACACCTACCTCAACCCTTATATTTAAAAAATTATGATAAATTACCTCAAATTTAATTATAGCTAATATTTAGCCCACTACATCTTGATCTTATGTATTTTAAAATATTACAAAGATCTCCCTTAATTTTTAATTTGAACTAAAAGTTGAATTTAAACTCATTAAATAGTGTTTGTATGTTTACGAACATATTTTCTTTAAAGAACAAACATAAGAAAATTAATAATATTGGAATATAATTTTGCACTTTTTTATTTAAATTTTGATAACCGAAATATTAAAAAAAAAATTGTTCCATAAATTTTCAAATAAAGTTGGCAGAATTTTCATAAAATATAATTTTTTGAAGGACCAAAAAGAAAAGGAATTTTCATAATTGTTTTACTAAAATTAACATCGAATCAAAAATCAAAATCGTGCATAAAAGCCCGATTGTGATAAAAAAGATCGAAAATAAAAATATATAAAATTGAAAGAAAAATATAATTTATATATATATATATATATATATATATATATATATATATATATATATATATATATATATATATATATATATATATGTATATATATATGTTTTCCCATAAATAACATGTGAGCAAAAGTGGGATTCAATAATGTTGATGTTCATTGATTGGATCAATGTGCAATTTGCATCTTCTTCTCCATTGGCAAGCACACTTTAAACGTTTAACATTTTGGCATATGCATCTTCTTTATCTAATTTTTCTTAGTGGTTTGGTGGAAAATACACATTTTCCCCAACTTTGAACATAATATAGTAATTTGCATCTACATCCTCTAACTTTGAACATAATATAGTAGTAATGTGCATCTACCTTCTCTTACTTTGGTATTTTAGCAACCATTATTATTCTTGTTTCGGAATATGCAGCCCTTTTTCATCAAATTTAATTATTTGGTTAATGTCTATTTTTTTTGGACGTACACAATTCAAAATTTATTTCCAATTAATCAGTATTTCATTTTTTCTTTTAACCTATCCAATTCAAAATTTATTTCCAATTAATCAGTATTTCATTTTTCTTTTAACCTATCCGTATTACATTTACGTATATGGCATGACATTATTTTGTAGATGCAATAACAAGAAAAACAATTATATTACTAGCAATTGTGAACTTATATAATGAAGTAAAAAAAACAAAAACCATTAATCAAAAGGTCTTTTAATCCATGTGTGCCCCCTCATTGCCCCCAACTCTTAATATTTTTTTTTTTTAATTTATATATAATTTTCATAAATATTTAAAAGAATGTCCAAGAAATTTGAGATGTAAAATTCACAAATTAATTTAAAAAAAAAAAAACCTTATTTTTCCTACTCTACCCCTAAAACTAACGGACGACTGACGGCAAAATGAATGAAGGAGATGTATATGTCAAATGATTAAACGTTTGGGACGTACTTGCCAAAAGACCAAAATTCAGAGGAGATGGATGCAAATTACCCTATATTATTATGACATATAGAAGAAATGAATTAAGAAATAGCAAGAGCAAAGTATTATTAAGAAACGAAAAAAGCGTCTCATTTCTTATTATTCGTTAACATAAACAACAAATGAAGAATGGTAGCAACTATATATGGACAGGATCACAAACTATAATTAATTCCCTTCTCCGAACCTGCACCTATTTTTTGGGGATATGATCAACTGAATCCACCCATCTCCCGTTTTCCTATTCGACAAAACCAAAAGCTAATACTTCCTTTAAACGTCTCCGAAAAAGAAAAAAAAAAAGAAAAAGAAAAAACTCGGTACAAATTTTTAAACTTCAAAAAAAAGACCTATACGCCATTTTACAACGCCGAAACGAGGGGGGGGAGGACTATTTGTACAGAGGGCACCTTTCACATGAAGTAGCTAAGGGATTTCTTCCTTCTGGAGCCACCTTCGCCGTAAAGTTCGTTCCACTGGATAAGCTCCGTCATGTTTATTGACTCCGACGAAACGCTCGCACATACCTAACCAAAAATACAATTATTGAAAAATTATAAAATTTTGAGTACATTTATCATATATTGTATAATAATTTAATTGGTTTCACTTAGGATTGTAAACTAATATTTTAAAGAAAAATATAAACAAAATAAAATTATTCAAAACCTTCGAGGGTGTCTTAAGTTCATTAATTGTGACGCCAAATCACATTTTACCGAATTAACCACAGTTAATTATATTTTAACCTAGCGACGGTCGGGGTATAATAGGAATCACGAAAAAGTAGTTACTCACCCTTTCGTGAGCAAATTTGAAGTCGTCCATATTAAGTGGGCGAATATCAGCACTGCCACTCAAAGCTGGTGCTGGTTTACCTTCGGCAAGAGCAGCATCCTGTTCCTGTAATCGACTCTTCTCGTTAGATGAAATCATAGACACTTTACCCGAAGAAAAAGGACTCAATCTTTAATCTAAATATATTATTCTTCAATGATAATTATATATATAAAGATAAAGATGTCATTTAGTTTTAACTTTCTCATCTCCGTAATCGCGAATTAAAATTTAAAAGACTCCCTCGACATTAATCAAATGTAAAAGCTCACATCAAACACAGCAAAATTACCTTTTTCTCCTTCTCCAGAATCTCTCTAATTGGACGATGAGCAGCCGTCACACACAAATTCTGAAAGAGAGAAAAAAAGAAAATATTACGGATAAGCCCGGTCTTGCAAATCACTTAGACAGATCCTATCCGAATTAGTACTAGCGGAAAATTTCCGATTTTTTTTTGGAAGTGAAAAACTAATTCCAATTCCGTTCCTTAAAAAAAGGAGAAAATCAGAACTTCGGAAATTGAAATGAAAACACTTGTTCCAAAATTGGACAATTCCGGATCGGAATCGGCGAAGTTCATAAATTTCCAATTTTTAGCCACATAAAATATAAAATACTTAACAATAATGATACCATAAGTCTAAAATTTTGGGTAAAAATCGGATTTTTGGAAATTAAAATCGGGTCGAAAATCGGAATCGCATATATATATTCCAGTTCCGGTCCAAAAAAGTTGTAAAAATCATAAATCAGAATTTGGAATGAAAAATATTGTTCAAATATCGGAAAATTGCAGATTGGAATCGGGCATGTCTAATAAATCGAACCTTAAGATCACTTCCGGAATAACCATCCGTCATATTTGCAACAGAATCCATATCCAAATCGGGAGACAAATCCTCTTTTGCTAGTATCACTCCGAGTATCTTCCCTCTATTAGCAGCATCTGGCAAATTGACCATCAATCTGCGCCACCACCAAAAAAAAACATTTTCAGGCCAAATAAATAATAATAATTAAAACTTATTTTAGAAGAATATTATCCGTCTTTGATTTATTATACCTGCGTGGGAGCCGCCTAATAACAGCTTCGTCAAGATCATAGGGCCTATTAGTGGCAGCAAGTACAAGAACTCGTTCGGTATCTTTAGTTCTAAGCCCATCCCAGTTCACCATAAATTCATTTTTCATTTTACGCATCGCCTCGTGTTCTCCCGGGTTTTCCCTTCGTCCAAGCATGCTATCAACCTTGAGAAGAAAAAAATTTAAAAATATATGAGGTTGATTTTTTTTTTTTTTTTGTTTTGGAAGAAAGACGAAATGTGAAAAGGCTATATATATTTGCGTACTTCATCGACAAATATAACGCTAGGAGCAATTTTGCTTGCCAACGAGAAAACAGCCTTGACGTATTTCTCGCCCTCGCCAAACCACTGCAATTGCAGATGATAGATTAAAAAAATGGATTAGATAATAAAAATAAAAATAAATAAAAACACGTAAGATAATGATAAAAATAAAAAAAGTAATTTATTAGAAGAAACCTTTGAGGTAATACTGGACATTGAAATGTTGATGAAGTTTGCACCAGCTTCGGTTGCAACAGCTTTTGCGAGCATAGTTTTTCCCGTTCCGGGTGGACCAAATAAAAGAATACCTTTGCATGGCTGCAAAAACACCAGTAATTAATACTCAATTAATTATTGTTTAAATTTTTTTTATTTTTTTTGGCAATGTGCTAAATTAATAATTAGCTTTTTTTAGGGAATCAATTATATAAAAAAAACTCGAGCCATTAAAAAATTAAGGGAGTGAGGATGGAAAATTAACCTTAGTGAGTTGACCTTTGCAGAAAAGTTCGGGGCGCTGTAAAGGGAGCATGACCAACTCCTTGAGAGTATCTTTGACATTTTCGAGTGCTCCAATATCATCAAATGTGACACCGATATCACTCGGAGGGATGACATCAGCCAATAGCCTCTTTTCAAATTCATTCTCTGTCACAACATCCTGCGCAAGTCAAAAAAAATATATTTTAATCCACTAAGGCCTTGTTTGGGAATTTATGATTAGGCTTGATTGACAATATAATCAAGAACCGACATTGCTACATCAAGATTTGGCACAATAAAGCCTTATTACACAAAATCATATGAAGGGTATTACGCGATACAAGGAATGTATAATTACAAACACGAGCTTTAAATCTATGGTTGTTAAGATTTTGAAGAACTTTCCCCAAACAGTTTCGGGAATTTCTCCCTCCAAGATGATTTGATTGCTACAGTAAAAAATGTTAATATCACTACACTTTCCAAATTTTCTTCTAGGGCAAATTACGGCCACCCCCTGAGGTATACTCAAATTACGAAAAAAAAAAATCTCATGTTTGGGTAATTACAATCACCCCCTCAACTATGTATTGTCTTACGAAAAAAAACCCCTCCTTCAGTAGGTAAATTACGAAAAAAAACCCCTCCTTTCTTCTAAAATACTTTTTTTTTGCAAACATCTTTAAACATGTATTTCTCGTCTCCTCCCAAAACATAAACAAACATTACTTTTATTATCAAATTCCTCCCGAAAACGAAATAAAAATAAGCACCAAAACTACTCCAAACATAGCCAAGATAATCACATATTACATTATCATCATCGCCAATTCAATCAATCCAATCAATATTACCAAACAACCGAAGCCCAAAGATATAGAGCAGTTAAGTATATTATCACCTTCAAAGACTTCTTCGAACTCTTGGAGTCATTTTGGATCGCGTGTAGAACCCCAATGCCATAGTTAATGCTGCGATACGAAAGTACAATACAAATTTACTTTTCAACGGGCATCTATTATTTATCGTTAATAAAAAAATAAGTGGCAACTTACTATTACCTCTCTGTAGAAAGAACGAGCCTCCCGTTTTCTGCAGCTTCAGTATTTTCCATCAAATAGTGGCTTAAAGCCCAGCCGACCACCTTTTCCGCACCTTCGAAAATATTTCAAATAAAAAAAAACTCTTTTCAATTTTTTATCCACAAGTTTCTGCTAATTTGATTATAATAAAACTAAAATAAGCTTACTCTCGATTGTAAGTGTTTGGTCTTTAATGTTCAAAGTCTCGAGTCCGTCACAGTCCATCCCGTTACGATTGAGAACCTGCATTTTAGAATAATATGAGGCAAATTTCGAGAAAAAAGAAATTTGAAAAAAAACATTAAAAGAAAATTAAATCAAATATCTCACAGTTCGTAAATTATTCAGGTTTGCTTTAAGTTTCAGGGTTTCGGCATCTCGTTCCAATTGCTGCTTCCAACTGACGAGGAGTGCTTCGTCCTGCAATATTTTAATAAGCATTATTATTTTATTGCATGTTATCGTCACGAACGAATCGTGTTTGGGAATCGAGAACAAAACCTGAGGCAAGTGAATGGTGACTTTATTCGGGAAAAGCTTCGACAGAAGCTTCGTTGCTTTTGTAACGTCCTTGGTTCTATCATGCAACCTTCCGAAACTATCCTGAGGTTTACCAAAATTAAATCATATGAGTCACTAAACAAGGTTTAATAGTAAAACATTTAAAATTAATGTTCGTAAATATTCGATACTCCCTTCGTTTCAAATTAATTGCAAGATTAAAGAATTCTTCTTTTTCCATATTATGTCACTTTAGAATATAAATTGTTTCCTCGAAAAAAACAACAGAATATCAATGTTGATTTAGTTACTTTGTTTTCCATATTTGCCCTTATTATTCCTAAATGCTTGATACATGTGCCGACACTTTAAACGACAATTATATTGAAACGGAGGAAGTATTAAATATCTAAATCGATGTTCTTCAATACACAATCAAACAACAAAATAAATGATAAAAATATCGATTATTATTGATCAACAGATACTTACAGGGAAAGCCAAGTCAAGCAAAGCAGTCTGATTGCTTCCAAATTTCGTAAAAAGCAAACCGCCTGGATGAGACTGCACCACCAATTACAAAAAAAAAGAATCTTTTATTTATGCCACAGTAGAATAATTAAAAAAGGTCGTCTAATGTATTAACGGATGATCGTCGAATAACTTTTTACCTTTTCTTTACGATTGTCGGTCTGAGTTTGCGAACCGATGATTACGACATTATTAGGAAGCTTATCCAGCTTCGTTTTGAATATAGCATACGACTCCGAATTTCCAGCCATGGACTTCTCCGCATCTTTCATAAACAAAATGAATGGCGTGTCTCTGCTCATATCAAATACGGCCTAATAATTAACAACAAATAATTTAGCATTAGAATTAGCCGGAATAAATAAATACATAATTAAATAAATAAATACATAAATAGATAAATAAAAAGAGGCAGAATTAGGAATCACCTCAAACATGGTGTTAATAAGTAACTTGTCAAGATCCTCCACGCCTGAGGTATCCAAGCGAAGCTCGTCGGCTAGAGATTGAACAAACGAGAAGAAAACGAAATCAATATTTTTTTTTTATTTTTTTTTATTTTAATAGAGCACGATAAGTTGAGAGTGAAAGAGCATAGTGAAGAAGAATATTATATTATCACCATTGCAGAAGAAACCGTGACCGGTATCGCAGAGACCTCCGAAATCAACTCCGTCTTGCATTGGTTTGTCGAATCTTACTCCAATTTTCGACACGGGATTATCTTCAAACGGTAGAAGAACCTTCCCTCTCATTCCAGAAGTGGGGCCCCTAAAAATCCCGTTAGAAAAAAAAAAACAGTCATTATATACATTTACGCACATATATTTAACTCAGAAAAAAAATGTATTGAATCATCAAAAGTACCTGGCAGAAGTAGTGGCATATAATCCACCAGAAGCAGGGCCGACGAATTTAACTCTATCACCTATAATTCCCGATAATCAGGTAGATAGGTTAGAAGTAAAGCAAAATTAGAGAATGTTTATTTTAATGTAAAATATTATGATATTTACCAAATTTGATTGGAACATTCTTATTAGTTGCGTTCGTCGAAGATGGTCCGTTATCGGTTTCATTTTTCGTCGGCAAATTAGAGGTTTCCGCTTCAGCAGACGAAAGTCCAGTATCCTTTGCAATGTCTGTGGGCCCCGGATCTTTTTCTGTATTGTTTCCCTCTTTCAACTTTTCGGCATCTTTAGAGGAACCCTACAATACAAGAATCATCAATAAACGACAATGCACAATATTAAATATTAAATATTAATTTATTTGGTGTAATCTTTCTTACTCCCAAAAATGAATGGGTGTCGAAAATAAGCAATCTAGCCCCAAAATAGTGAGCAAGCGCCTTCGCCAGCATCTCCTGATAAATATCCGACCCTGAAATAAATAATAATAAATAAAGCCCGCATTATAAGGATCACATACAAACAATTAAAAAAGACGAGTACTTTACGGAAAAAAAATAAAAATACGACAATATGCAACCAATCAGAGACCTGCGGGACCAGAAAGCAAGATTCTTGGATTCAATGTCGGAAGTTCGGATGTAAATTTAACTTGCTCCCTGTGCTTCAGTTGTATAAACGACGCTGCAATAAGCACGCTTTTTGTGCTCTCACTGCAAGGTGAATAGAAACAAAAATTGTGACATAAGAATCGGGTTTTTTGAATATGTTGTACGTAAATGGATTTGAGCCTACCTCAAATAATATGGGAAATTATCGAATGAAACATCCAACTCTCGCCCATCAAAAACCGCCGCAATTATGTCCTCTCTAAATGCTGCGCCACGCAAACAAATCGCTGATAAAGATGCCGGCACAATATCCCTAATCCAATCCCTTTCTTCCTATTTAATAAAAAAAACAAAAAAGCAATATATGCTTACGTATGAGTTACACGAAATTCAAAATCAAGAAGCAAACAAAATTAGTTGCGAGTAAAATAGATATTCACGCCACAAGTATATGTTTACTTGCCTCAGATCCCGCTTCAATATTGCCGTCAACGGGGAGCATCTTGGCATCTTCGCTCCCTAAATTTGTAGCTGAGTTGACTTCTTGACCATCAACATCTTCTTCATTAAGAACGGGAGATGGGGCCCGGTTATTTTTACCACTGGCCTGAGAAGTGGGTTTGAGACGAGACAAATCTTGCCTCAAATTAGAAAGCGACGCCAAAATCGAAGCGCCTGCCACAGCCGATGCGTCACCCGCTCTCCGTTCGACAGGGACTGCCTTTCCAAGATTTGTGTGGACATCTGTCGAAGAAGGGGTCTTGATTATACTATCGTAAGGTAGCTGCTGGAAAATCTACGTGAGTGGGGTTAAGGATAAATTCCACATGGACCAATCGGTACAAAGAATATAAAAATAAAATAAAAGGCAAATAGAAAAGGATACATATGTATGGTTTCCAAGAAAACCGAAAACCACTTCGTCGCCTGAATTGAGATCGCAATTGGTGTTTTTCTTGATTGTTTTCCCGTTGACTTGCACACATCCTTTGCTCCCTCGACTTTCGAGAATCGCAACGGCTTTATCTTCGCGCTGATTATTTTCCAAGAAAACATCATTACAAAATGGCAAATGCATGACATAAAATCACATAATTAGTATCGTTGACAGCAATATAAAACCTGATCGAGCCTTATCGAGCACAGATTGGCACTAATGGTCTGGTCCCGGATCAAAAGGTTAGCGTGTTTGCTCGAGCCCACCAAGAAATTGGTTGTGTACACAGAAACAGTGGGGTTCTGCCAAATAAAACATCAAGAAATCCATAAAGATTGGAGCTTTTTAATTGAAACAAAAAATCCAAACTAAATCGAACCAAGAACAAGAAAATAAAGGCAAAAGAAATCACCTGTGAAGTTTCTGTGAGAAGCCTACACCAAGGGGAGGTTGTTTCGTAACCTTGGTGCTGCTTCCACGAAGTGAAAGAGCTCCTAGTCTTGTCCGCGGCGGCAGCCGCCGGCGCAACCCCTAAAAAAATTTCGATTAATTTCCCCCAATTTTCAGTTTTTTCCACACATGCACCATATCAAGAAACAATTTCTTTCTACATTGATTTCAACGAAGTAATAAAAGTAATAAAACCCAACCTTCTGCGGCCACAGGAGTAGCCAAGGACACGGAGGCGTCGGCATCTGGGGCGGTTGTAGCGGCGGTGGCGGTGACGTCAGCGGCGTCAGCGGCGTCAGCGGCGGCGGTGATGGGCACAGCCGGCGGATCAGTTGAGCTTACTTCCTTCGGAATCTCCGCCGGCGAAGCCACCGACGCGCTCGGATTGGTGCTGTTAATCTTGTCGCCGCAGCTTTCACCCTACGCCAAAACCAAAAAAAAAAAAAAGAACGCTTCAGAAATCAACGGCCCTGATTGAGTAATCCAAGAGATGAAGAAGCCCAACAGCTCTTTATCAACGAGCGTTTAGAGAGAGATTAGAGAGAGAGAGTGCCTTCTGACGCTTTGGGGAGGAAGGTTTGTTGTGAGTATCATCGGACGGCGAAGACGATCTCTTACTGTTATTCGACGGCAGAGATCCACTTCGCCTCGTCGACACCATTTCAGCTTTTTTCTTCTTCTTCCCCTTTGTTCTTGAATGCGATATATCTTTTTTTTTTCTTTTTAGAGAGAGAGAATATTATTTTATGGGAATATCTTACACTGTGCAATTAAAAGGGAGGAAAATAAGAGAATCGTAGTGAAATATGAGAGTGTAAGTTGTGGGTTAAAATAGTAATACCCGATTCCTCAGGGGTATCTATGCAAATACTGTCACACGGGGGCTAACGGTGCTCGGACCGTCGGAGGCTCACGTTAACAAAAGCGTGCTCGCGTCAGCTGGCCGCTCTTAAATTGCGCCGCTTAAATTACGCATGCGGTTGACGGTGCTTTTGCACTTTTCTTCTTTTTTTCTTGAAGAAAAGGTTAGGGGAATGTGATTTTTGCTCTTATTAGATACTTTTATTTTTGTGCTTTGATCTCATCATCTAATTATGTATGCCTTATTCTTGGTTTTTTAATTCACTATTAAATTCTAGAAATTAAATATATTATTCACCAATATGATAATATTCAAAATTTCAAACTAATTACGGTCATTTAAAAAATTTAATGTTATTTTTTAATAAAATTAGTAGCATCTTCCGATTAAATTTGTAGGTGATGACTAAAAAGGAAAAGATCGATAATATTGCTAATATACTATAAATATGAATGAATTATTGTAAAATAGTGGACATTATATAGAATTGCAATTATTTACTACCATATGTTTACAATTTTAATATTATCTTTAAAATGAGGAGCCAAACTTTTTGTTAATTTCTTGTTCGGTTATATTTCTCCTAACAATTCTGTTTTCACTGTGACGCGCCAGAACACTACAATAATGCCGAGAACAGGCAAGTCTTAACCAAAAAATAGAGCTTGTCGTTGTCGTGGTCGAAATGGGATGGAACATAGTGGAGCGGCTTCGGAACAACTACAATTTAGCTTATGTAATGGGTAATAACAAATGTTGTACTCATAATTGAATGTATCATATAATAATGTGATATTGGAAGAAATGTGGAGAAAATCTTGAAAACTTTGAACCACCTTCACCTTGGCATATGTTACGCACTAAATCAGTCAGCCCACTCAACAATTCTTCACACAAACGTATGGCACCATCGTTGTATCAAATGAACAGCAACAATCACAAGTATGCAGCGGAAATCGAACAACACAAGCAATTTACGAGCAACGCTCAACCTTTATTGATTCACTCACGAACAATACAAGGAAAGCCCTTGGTGCACACAAAGAATCCTCACAACAGATGCTATCGATTGCAATCTGAGTCCCTCTATCTGGATGGGTCGGATTTGTGCACTCTAGGGCTTATAAATACAAGTTACAATGCAGTTTACACACTAAACTGCCAAGGGACACATGGCGGCACGCAGGCCAGCCACTTGGCACACTAATACAACATAAAGGGACGGTTTTCTAAGCCATTGCTGATGCCAACCGCTCCGCAACTGCCTTCCTTAACTTCCCGAGTCAATTAGCTGTCCGGCTTGCCCAATCGGCGCGCGCGCGCGCCCAAGGATCGAATCCGCCCGCACGCGTGCAATTCAGCTCGCTTGCCTTGCCCACACTTGCCATGCCTTTCTCGGCCAAGCACCTCAATGCTTGCCAATCACTCGAAACCCTTGCCTTGTAACTCTCGGCCAAGCACCTCAATACTTGTCCAACTCTCGGCCACCGTTCGGCCCATGTGTAGCTTGCGTTGTGCCAACACTTCTTGGCACCATTTCTTTGCCCACACGGTCTTTGGCACGCCCGCACATCGGGCTGCCTTCATTGACTTGCCAATCCGTTGTGCCAACTTGCCCACACTCGTCAAGTCTTGGTCGATTTCCTTCGAACGTTCGTTTGCCTAAGTTATGGGCCGCATGCCGATCACTGCCCACGCTTGTCCGCATTTGCTGCCGAGCAACGCCCGTGCCAACCACTAGTACTTTCGATCACCGTTCCCACTTGAACCAAGCCGATCCTTGCTTTCTCGGACAAACACCCCGAATGCTTGCCCGACACTCAACCACTCATTGGCCAATTGTGTGGCTGTCTTGTGCCAACCCTTGCTTGGCACCCATTCTCGGTCATGACTCGGCCACACTCGAGTCATTACCGATATCACCGACTAAGGGGGTAACAACATACTACATGGTATTAATATTGCATGTCATTTTATGCAATATTGTTATAATATTTATTTTTGAAATTGTAATAATACTTTGCATATTATCTATTGTAATGTTGGTAAATATATTTGAAATAAATCTATGTTTAGCATTTTGAACTGAAATTTATTCATTATGGCAACAACAAAGTCGCAGCGTTGCAATGGAAGTTGAAAATCAGTGTCCACGGTAATGTTCCGCAATGCTCCATACAAGGCATTGCTCTTTTAGTTAGTTTTTAAATATTGGCTTAAGTCGATTGTAAATAGTGTTTTTTATATGGGTTTAAACACTAATTTAACAAGCAGATTGTAATAGAGACTTACAAAGAATATAAAAAATAAACTAGATCACATGATATTAGTCGATTGATATTTCATATAGAGAAAGTACGATAAGTTAGGTGACTAAATATTATTTGATTTGGATTTAGTTGACTTAAACACTCTGTCAACTGATTCGTACGAGCGTGCATATAAATTCAGTTCATTAACTAAAAAGAAATTGTTGGCTAACAAAATAATTAGTTGAGTAACAAACAAAACTTATTTGACCAACAAAAAAATTTAGTCGACTAACAAAAAAATTAGTAAATTTGGATGTAGTCGACTTGCATTTAGCCGGCTTCCTGAAAGTAGGGTTGAACTCTCAAACTGCAATTGTGTAGAGATCTATTTGTTGTGATGGAACATGTGATTTATTTGTGGTTAATGTGGTTTGGTTTAGGCAAAATAGTGATTGTTAGCCAACAAACAAAATCATTAACTTGTTGATTTGCATGTAGTCGATTTGCGTTTAGTCAAATTAATTTAGTCCGCTATCAGTCCTGCAAGCGGGATTGGCTATTGTGGATCGGTGTTGGCCACGTGCTTAATTGGGATGAACTTAGTTCAAATGAAAATATGGGATATTTTGCTCAACATAAACACAAAATGAATTTTCCTAATATTTAATAAATAAATAAAATGTGCTTATTCGGAATAAAATTAGGTGTAATGTCATTTACACTTTCTACAAAAATTGGAACTGACTAGTCAATTCAATTAAATTTATTGGTGGCTACTAAAAAAAGAGAATAATTTTACTAATGATACACTAAAAATATGATTGAATTATTGTAAATTAGTGACATTATGATGAAATCCTGTTTAATATGGTATTTTAGTTGTTTTACCATTATATTGAAATAAAGAGTCCAATATGTTACGAATGTCTTATTTGATTACATGCTTAACTTGAATTAGATTGGATTGTATTGATCCCCTATTGATTCGTAACTTAGTGCATAGGTAAGATGTTTTAGTATTAAATTATTAAAATATGACATGAAATGTGATTTCTGAATAACGTTCTTAAATTAAGAATAACCATATCTCAATTTGATACTTTAGGGGTAAAAGATATATTTTGCCTTCAAAATTGGTTGAAAAATATCCAATTAAATATATTTTGAAAGAACGTCAATTGATTTTCTACAACAACATTATATGAATTATATTTATTATCTATAACCTTTTCTCAAAATTATGATTATATGTTATATGTGATGTAACAAATTAATTCACAATTTATTTTAAGTGCTACAAAAGGACTTGATTGTTTTTAGCACATATCTTTGATCCTTGAGTGCTTTATATGGATGTATAAATCTCGTAATGATTCCCGAAGAGTTCACAAAGACCGTCAATTGATGATTAAAGAATGTAAAATGTTAAAATCTTGGACACATAAAATTTTCTATAAAGTATTTATCAAATAAAATCTTTATTCGTTAATCAACTTCTAAAAAAAATAATTAAAATAAATTATACGAATACATTTATCCATTGAATAGCCTTATGGTTGGTTGTGTGATCAATGGATGTAAAGAAATACCATTTTTTTATCTATAGAGGATTACGTTTAGCTTATTTGAACGCTATTGGTGTATTAGTGTATCTTATCACAAAACTTGACATTGCATTTTCAGTTAAATTATTGTCAATATATAATTAGACACAAAAAACGGAAGACATTGAGATAGTTAAACATATTTTTTGGTACTTCATGGATCAGCCGATATGAGATTATTTTACTCAAAATAGTTAAGAACCCCATTAGTGGATTATGTGTATAGTAGTATACCTTGAAGTCGATATGTATCTTTACTTGTGGTGTTGTTGTTATATTGTGGCTTTGAGTGAAGCAAACATCAAGATTCAATTCTTCCAATTTATTCTAAAATTATGGCATTGTATGAAGCACGTTGTGAATGTATATTGTTGAGATCTATGGTACACTATATTCAAAGGATAAGTGGATTATCTTTAATAAAAAGCAACATTGTTATATGAAGACAATGTTTGTATGTTGCTCTTATTAAAGACTGCTATATCAAGATATCCGAAACAAAGCACATCATCATCAAAGTTGTTCTATATCCATGAGCTTCGAAACAATGTTGATATAGAAGTTTGTCATATTGTTAAAAAAATAATTTAAATTATTTTGTTTCAAATAGGGTGCTAAATTTTATTTTTAACATATAAAACCAATTGAATTGTCAAAAATTGTATAGAAAATCGCAATAAATTGCAAAAACAAAATGTTGGGTTATTTTAATAAAAATAATATATTTTATTATAAATTTTAATAATGACTTTGACCACTCTTATGAGGTTCATTAGACCACTATTTTGAAAGCTTCAAAGTCAATATTTTCCTACATAAAATACCATAATTTCTATATTAAATTGAGGTTTTATGGGGGTTATATTATATGTTATATAAAGGGATATTGTGGCTTTGCATGTAGAAGAGAAAGAGAGGATAAAAAAAAATAACTTTCTAAAGATCCTATATATATTATATGTTGAGCTCTTGTTGTGTGTCGCGTATAAGTTTCTACTTCACTTGAACGTGTAATTTCGGTGAAGTTACAACGGAGAGATAGG